CACACGCACACACACAAGTATACCGAGTTCACGTCTGCAGGTATTCTACCTATTATTAAATATGAAAACGCCGTTTTGTCTCGGTACAATATTATGTAATGACACCCTTCGGTTTCAATAATAACACGCGGGAATAATAATACACTTATATCCCATACGAAATCCACCGTTCGATGCGTTTTCTGAACCTACAAGTGCATTAAATAATACCTACCACAAGTGTACTATAAACGCGTCACGTTCAACGCTATGTACTACGCCGTTGTTGTACATACATATACCATTCACCAATTATATAGGTATAAGTAGATATACAATTGCAGTGGTCACCGGATGACGGATATAGTTCTCGAGTAACGCATACGTGTTGTACGCATGTGTCGTGGACACTTCGTGAAATAGAAACGATTTTTACACACTTCGAGACAAGGAAATATTTCGCAAAATTGTCTGGTTAACGTTGTGTAGCCTAACTAAATTAAATATACAGATGTGTTTATTTATTTGAATGAAATTAAAATGAAGACGATGTTTAAAACGAACAAATATTTTCAGAAAATTATAATCGATTTCCATGTTTCAGCAGTCAACGAAATAACTCAGTCTATATATTCATACATGACTTACGTACGTTACACTAGTGTTGTAATTTATATTCGTACTAGCTGACCCGTCGTGCGTTACCACTGAAGTAAATTCAATAAAATTCAAACATTCGTTACACGCTATTGTTTTTATTTAAATATTTTCCTGAAAATAAAATAAATTTATTCGAAACCATGCGGATACACCATATATTTTGTTTTTAAAACCGTGGTGGACTGATGTTTCGGAAAAGTATAATAATTTTCAATGTTAAAATGTGCATTGACAAATCGAGTTAGTTCAACAATTCCGTTAGGTAATTGACAATTTCGCTTTGATTCATCAAAGCATCGATGGATTTATGTTGTTGTTTTATTTGGTAATCCATTTTGGAAACTTGATGACTTCGATATCATTGTTCATAGGTGCTAATAAAGCACGATCGTTGAGCCATTGATAATTTTTGTAATTCAACGCGATATTTGACAGAATACGTTTTTATTTTTTTGAAACAAAGATATTGTATTTTTATTTTTCAAATTTCCTACAATTTTCTACCTTCTGAAATAGCAACAACACGTAATGGGTAAGGTAATATATATTAAAGCAAATGATAATATTCATACTATATAAACTATTATGTTAGTAAGATGTACTATAACAAAAAATTTCGCAGGAGTGTACTCAAAAAACTTTCCAAAGTCTCATGACGATCGAATGAATAGCGTAGGAATACATAAAGAACAAACAAACACACATTCACTATACATAATATATATGAATAAAGAACAAATTAATTAGTTGATGTGTTCGATTATTTTAAAAATGTTAATTAATTTGTAGGTAATATGATTGTCTACATCATGTAAAATGTTTAAATTGATATGATCATCATAATACATATAAATTAGAGAATTTTATCAGATACCAGTACCAAACAATAGAGTAGACTAACTAAACTAGTATTAGTCTGTTCTGTGGTTAAACTATTCAATATAAAAATAAAAAAAATATAAATATAAATATATATATATATATATATATATAAATATATATATATATATATATATAAGAATATTCAATATAATATGTACAAAATGTTCAGTATTGTAATATTACAAATACGTGATAACTTATTGTTTTGTCTACCGAAGACATGGTGAACAAATGATAAGTGGCTGCCGCCGGCATTATGTGCGTATTCTGATAGGTCTTACTAAATTTCGCCACTAGGTGATTTATTAATAATTTTTAATATGTAAAATATGAAATACGCAGAACGGTAAGTGCTTCAGCGCCCGAGCACCTCATCCCCTAAATTCGCCACTGATATAGATATATAATAGATACTATGGTAGACAATCGAAACGTCTTAAATTATTTCTGTTCATTTGTTTCGATTATTAAATAATATAAAAAAACGTATTAGGTGGGTAGATTTTAATGTACCTTTAAAAATGCAAAACCGCAAAAGTTTAACACATGAATCCGAGTGATGTATACACTTAATAATATAATTTATTATTTAGAATACATATTAAAACAAAAGTCGCATTGCTCCTCTGACAGGATGCTGTTGGTGGAGGAAGAGGGGAGTCGGAAATGAGGAAAATACTTTAATCCTCGCAGTTGTTAATACGCTATAGTAGAACGGATGTATTGATAAATGATATAATATTAAAATCAACATTTAATTATTGCATTTGAAAAACGTGTTGAGATCAACATGGTTATTAAGTATGATACCATTATATAATTTATTAATTTTAAGAGTGTACTGAAAATTATTTAAGTCATAATTTTTTATATGTTTTTAAATATCTAATTAAATTATTATTTTTTATTAAAATATATTTAATATTATCAAAACTGTATATAAATGAACAGTTTTGTTACATAATTGTAAAAATATAAGGTTTTTAAGAACATAAATTATTTTTATTAGATTTTTCTCTTTACTTAGGAGAATAATTATTTTAATTATTGTAAAAAATTATAAAAAAAATATCAACTATTAATTTTTTTAAAAATAATTATTAGCAATTAATTTTGAAATTTTGAAAATATAATTAAAATAGAAAATCAATGATATTTTATAACATTTTCAAGCAAGGGACATAAAATGTTTTTACAATATTATTTAAACAACAATCAGAAGAAAGAAAAACTGAAACATAAAATTTAAATGATACTATATTATCAATAATGCATCATAAGATTTAAAATATGAAATCGTCATATTGTTGATAATAATTGTAAATAGTACGAATGTATTTTTTTAATGAATTGCAATAGTCAAAACTTAATTTTGTAACTAAATCATTATTTATAGTGATTCGGTATTTTATTTAATAAAATAATTGAAAAGCTATTCACATCGAAGTTCGAAAGAAATGAAATTGTCTGTATGTACTCGTAATTTAGGGAACGCTTTTATAATCTCAATACCAAAATAGTTAAGTACTTATGTAATTGAATAAATCAACAAAAACTATGAAACGATACGCTTTGTTCAACATCAAAAATAATAATCTCAAGTTTCATTATTTGGCATAATATGACAAAATATTTGATATTTTAACAGTTTTAAATATAATACGTAAACGATTATGTATTAGGTTTTTACATTTCTGAAAATATCGTTTATTTTTGCATCAAATTTACCGAAAAACCAAATTTTAACAACCATCGTAAACGAAGTTAAATGAAGGATCATTTTTAGACGATTAAGATAAAAACACTATGACCGGTAAAAAATAACCATTATTTTTCGTTAACCGGTTATAGTTAATTATTTATTTTAAATGTCGACTTAACAATATATGTACGTCCCTCGAGGACTCAAAAATGAACAGCATATGATGAATGGAAGAAATAAACATTTGCTTTAGTAACCCACGGTAGACGTGTTCGATATTCCTATGTAGTGATACTTATAGATACTGAAATATAATATTTAAATCCATTTCTGATCAGTTAGTGTGATATGGATTAAAAGTTTATTTACAGTAGAACAATACAATTTTAAACAGAGAAAATCTCAATTGAATAAAATATTTTATCGATAACAGCGTTTTGCAATTAATGATCATAAAACTTTTAACTACATTTTAATTTAAATATTAATAGTAAAATTTTAATATGAATGAAATAAACGCAAAAAACCAATCGTCCAAATGATATAGTGTAAAATTTGAATGAAAATTCAAAAAAATAAAATAAAATGCACTAGATATGTTTAGTGGCCGTTAAGAAATACTATTATTATCAATACAAATTATGATTAATGTTTGGTTAAAAATAAATAATCGAACTTTAAACATAAATACATATTTTGTAAAGAAAAAAAATAATGTACAGGATAAAACACTTTTAACTAAAAAACGGCCACTAGTTGTTCCTATCTAAATAAACAATATTAGCGAAGATTGGAGACCGGAGAGAAAATGTTGATATAACATTATTCACAAATGGTACATTGACACAGTCCGTAATAATCGCAAATGCAAAGTACGAGAATTTACAGTCATCCGCGCAGACTTATCTTACAAACTATCATAAACGGCACGACTCAACCGACCCTCCCACCTTGCATGTGAACGAAATAGAAGGGACATAGGAGGGGATCATGAAAAGACAGGCGATCGCGAAAAGCTCGTTCTTTATCTAGTACCGTACGACACACAAGATCAACGGACCGACAATATCGTTATTTTTGTATTTTTCCATTATATAACCATGAACTTTGTTTTATTAGACTTTTCCACATAGCTAGTTCGAATTTTCAAGGTATAATTATATACATTTGATCATAATTAAAAATACATGTTATACACATATATGTCTACACATTTTTTTCCTCACTGTGAATATTTCAGAAACCATTAAGAATGCATCTATCAATGCGTCAACGCTAGTTTATAGATATGTCAGCGTTTCATTAAAAAAAAAAAAAAAAATGCATCATATAACAATACTAACCAAATTAGTGAAATTTATAAGAACTGTAGTTACATTAATATGATGTATGCATAAAATTGAGTTAAAAAAATATCATTGCATATTATATTCATGGTAAAGCGCTATCCTAAACCTTTGTGATTTACCATTAATTCTACACCGATTTGACGGCATAATAATGACTTAGACCAAGGCATTGTCTGAGAAAACCCCTTTCCAGACATACATTTAATTTTCGATTTATTAAAAGCCCTTTGTTATTTTTTGTCCCTACAACTCTTCGCTTGAATAAGGCTCTGACATTGCTATTAAAATGATGAACTATTGATATGTTTGTGGTCAGATAATGAAAACCATACCGTACCGCAGACAAATATGACCGCGTACTCAACGAAATTAATTAATGGACACTTATTTCACGCAGCCAAAGTGTGTTAAATAACGGAAAAACTCACTGGCTGAAGGCACGTCCATAGCCGGGCCCGTGGACCCGATAGCGTCCGGATATGCGGCATACGTTCCTCCATGCGGGAGCACATTTGGCGAATACGATGACGTTGAATAGCCGCACCAGTTGCTGGATTCGGTAACACCGACAGGTATGTTGGAATGATCGTCTAGAAACATCGAAAAAAAAACGCACTTATTAATTGATTCGTACCCGAATATACAACACATTTGCCGGAATATTATTCATTTATCGTTGCAATAAAAATATATAACCTATATGGTTTGAACAAAAGTATTGATGGTTTAAAAAAATAAGTTGATTTTTTTTCTTTCAATACTTTAGTTGTAAGGTTGTCCTATTATCGGTCGTTAATATCAATAAGATCGTAAATCCTATTACGATTGACAAGGACCAAATCGAAGATAATCAAAATAAAATATTTTAGTTGTTAGTTATTAATCGGTGGCACTGCGGGGGAGGATGGGTGTCGACAATGACCCACGGTGTATGTATAAGTACACATGGATACATACATCATGAGTTCCTATTACGAGTATGATACGTATATATTAAAGGCGAGTTGCCGAAAACGAAGGCGGACGACAAATTAAACAAGTGTGAACGACACACACACACACACACGCGCGCGCGCGCGCGCACATTTTATTGTACTTATTGTTGTTATTATTATTATATTCGAAAACACAATTGCGATAGAGTTGTTCAAGCGTGCGGCGTTTCGGAGAGACGCGGCGCAAGCATAACATTACAATATAATGGGCCATTAGTCATTGTCGTCAAATTAGAATGAAACGGCTCGCGCGAGATGCGCGTACGCACGCGGCCGACCCGTACACGCGAAGGCGAAGAAAAGAGAATATTTTATAAAAATTAATAATCACAATAACAAGTGAACCTGTTGCCCATATAGTGGCTCGTCGTCGTACATTGTGAACGCGCGTGCGCGCCGGAGAGGATATTTTTTCAGCGGTAAATTAATGGCCGACTGTGCTAAGGACATGCGATATTTCACGTCTCGAGTGGGTCGTCGTATCGTGTGTGCGTGAGGACAATGCCTTGGGGCGAAATAAATAATAATAAAAAAATTTTCTTAAAAAAATAACACAACTCGCATGTCTGTTCTGACGCGTGTGAACACTCGAGTGGTGGTGAGCTTATACAAAAATAATACGTAACGCACTGTATATTATGTACATGAGTAGGAACTACTTCGTCGTCGTCGTTGCAGCCATTGCCGCTGTCGTTTGGGGAAAAAAATTTACAAAAATAAATCCTGATAATGGAAATCGAGCCATGAGCGATTGGCCCCGCGAAGATATATAAACTATTACTATTACACTTCGTCGTTATACGTGTGTGGTTAAAAATCGACGGATATGTTCTGTACAATGACGTTGTACACATATTATAGTAGTACGCATATTCCTGCGTACAGCCGGTGTATAGTTGTTTTCACGAATATCGTGCGGGTGAGCGCACGCTAAAGGTTGATGAATAACTTTTTTGGTTTTTTTTTTTTTTTGTTTCCCTTCGAAACGTCAATATATACATACTCATGCTTGCATCCGTCAATAACTACGAGCAATTAATCGATGCGCGAAAAATATTACCATAATCGCATATGACATGATAATGTATCGACTTTAACGCCTGCGTTTCACTGCTCGTACTATAGCCGGGTTTATAAATTCAAACTAGTGATTATGCGTATCTATACTATTGACCAAGATATCACTAGTTCAATAAAAGGGTAGGACCACGCAGAAACCAAAACTTGTTGTACCTCACAGCTAGTACCGTACCTAGTATAATTAGCGCCCGATAACAAAAATCATTTATAGCGCTCTCACCCCTCCACAAAATATTTTTGAACCTATAATTATAACTAAGCTTAAGCTATAAGGAGACTAATTAAGAATAGGGGGTTTTATATAACTACTTACTTTGTATTTATTAAATTAATAAAAAAAATAATCAACGACTAAAGAACAATACAAGTAATATAGATAACTTAAACTGATTTTTCGATGCCATGTTTTCTCACCCTGTTCTACCTACTTGAAAAAGTTACCAGCAAATTTCGCCTTTAGATTTAAATTTATAGTTCCCGTTATACCAGATAAAGTATGAATCAATGATCTTACTCTATCCAGATCCTTCATAATTAAAATTAACCGATTACGCACTGGCCATCGTCTCTTGCTTGCAAATTAAATCTTAATGATTCCCTTTCAGTGGTGCAATTATCGGGAGTATTGAGTGTAAAATTCATAGAGATCTCCGGGTTTGAGAAGTCTCAAGATTTCTTCTGATATTACCTTTGTCCCTTACAATATTTCTATTATAATCTGTAATATACACATATTATATTATTTGTTTTAATGTAATAACAATAAATAATAATACAAGTCTGGACATTTTCACATGGACCCCTTATCATCAAGTTGGGCCACTGTTCTCATCTCTGCAAAACCCATTTAGAAGAAAAAAATCTATATTATATCTTATATTCTCTTTGGTTGTCCTTTCTACCTACCAAATGCAATATCCTAATTAGTCTCTTAATAACCCATTCAATATTTTCAGCATTCTAAATTTTAAAATCTGCTCCCGTTTTAATTATTTCATTCATTCACGAGGTTGGTTTCTCTATATAATTTTTTATTATTTTAATATTTTTATGTAATATGTTTTATCTATTTGAATTAATTAATCGATACATTTTATTATTATTGTCGAGTTTAATAGTATTTCTTAAAGCTCCATACATAAAAATAAATAAAAACTCTATAAAAATAGCTTTATAGGTAGAAAATAATATGTAGATAATAACTTATCATTCTGAACTGGAATACATTATTTACAAATTAAATTTATTCGATTTCAGAAAAAATAACTTACGTTTTTAAATAATTGCCGATAAAAAATAATTAGGTACCTTTGCAACTTCTGCATTCATGAACTATAATGTTAACACTATCATAGACTAGTTCTAAATATAATCGTACAACTCGATCAAGTCAATGTTCGTTTATGCTATTAATGTTATTAAATTAATTATTACGAGTAACAATAATAATAGAAAACAAATGGTATATTATTGTTAATTTGTCATCTCGCTGATTTCGGGGCAAAAATAAATACCAATACTAAAAATAAACTAGCAACACCGCCAATGAAGACAATGTTAATGATGTAGAATACGCGTCGAGACCATGACGTTAAACGTGTTAAATATTTTGAATTAAATAATATGGTTAACTTTCAGTAATATTACTTAAATTATGAAAAAAGCTTTTGGCGCCCCAGTGTTCATGGCACCCGGTGCACTAACATCTCTCGCACTCCCTAGGCACGGCCCTGCTCACCGCAATTATTTGTGACCGTTGATTTTCGAATAAATTTCCGTTGATGCAGTCCTATAGCTTCTCTACAACGAACCAACTTTTCGAACAGAATCGTTCACACTAATAAAAACAATAACAACCTTGGTGCTCAACTACTACTTATGTTTTTGCGTACAACTCGTTTCGCGCTGTCCCTGCCGGCTATGACGAAAACTAATAATTCGTCATCTCAATAAAAACTAAAAACAATACCTAACTAGCATATTATCGAGTGCGATTGCGTTGCATCTACGTGTACCCGTTGTAGTGTACCGTTGCAAATAGATAGTGCGCGATAACCACAATATGGTCAGACAAACATTGCGCACGTAAACAAAAAATAATGATTTTTAAAAAGTATTAAATTAATCGTTTTTGTTCATACATGTTCAGCGACCATAGCGCCACCGCGACGTTATGCAATTACAATCGATGCATAGTATTTGGCGCACGTGTTGGCCAATACAGTTACACTTTAAAACCAAAAACTTAACTTTTTCCCTAACAGTTTCGCGTTGTTTGATTTACCGAAATGTAGTAGGCCACCCAGACCGTTGGATCATGTATGTAACGAGTGATATGGTAACTTAACTTTAATGCACTGAAAAAAAATAATAAAAACAAAAATCAGACATCCGATAGCGGTCTGAAAATGTGACGTACATGCCACCGTCGTGACGATGGCATATACGCCATTTTTTCAGATGCGTCGGCCGTCCGGAAATTGATCGCAAGGGATGTGGTTTCTTTTACATTCTATAGGTATACCTGAACCAGTGACCTATCAATTATCATCGTTTTTTACCGCAGTATAATACCTACCTGTTAATAGTATTTCATTACGGCAGTTAGTATAAAATATATAAAATAGTAAGTTATAATAATATTCAGTAGGTACCACTATTAAGAGGTAAAACCAATACTATTTAAAAAACCATTGATAGAAATGTGCTGCCGTGCTTCTATGGTAAAGATGTAAATTACATTTACATCGTGTGTAAGATAAAAAACAATGATATAAAATTTTTAGATTTATAAAGTAAAAAAAAACATAATCCAATGAACAACAAATCGACTCAAGGCCGTATTTAAGATTTCACTGCCATTGGGCAACTCTACAAGCAACACTGCAGGGGCAGCAATATTTTGTCGCCCCTCTTCCCTGAAGTACAAAACCAAAAATAAGTGTCTCCAAATATTCATTAAAAAGCCGCTCGCAATTAATTTTTCCCATCTCAGTACATTATAAAAAAATATTTGTAATTAATATAAAATTCAAAATAATAACCGAATTATAATTACATAAATAAAATTATAGAAAATTGTCTTTTATAAGACTGATGGTGGTCCACTAAAAAATTTAGTACCTTTCGGTCTAAATATCCCATCCCCATACAAATAAAGATTAAATCAATACCTATATCTCAAATACTTTTAAATAGAAATACATTTTGTACACCACTAAATAATGAAAAATGATTTTATAGTGTATTTATAAACATTTATTTTTTATATTATTTTATTTATTCATAAATAACTGTTGCCTCCCTGAACCACTCCTTAAATACGGCCCTGAACGACTGTATCAAAACTTGATGATACAATTCTAATAATATAATGATATTGATTAACAATTTTTCACTATATTTGCAGCTCTCAAAATAATTTATAAGCCGTATTAAGCCTAGATAAATACTTTTTAATCTAGAATCTAGATAAAGATAAAGATAGTGAAAAAATATATTTTAATTAGATAACA